ATTTTCTGCAAAGCACAACATGAAACAATTGAACATGTGCTAATCCATTATCCTTTGGTGTGGAGGGTTTGGATTGGGCTGTTGCAGTGGTGAGGGGCTCTTTGGGTTGTTCCTGGTTCTGTAGAGGGCCTGCTGCAATGGTGGGTAGGGTACACCTGCAAGGAAGATGAATGGAGAATTTGGCGTGCAATAACAATGGTCACTCTTTGGTTCGTATGGAAGCTCAGAAATGAGTGTCTCTTTCAAGATTTCCAACCAAAGATGCAGGAGTTGCAAGAGCTCATAATCACAAGGCTTGCAATTTGGCTAAAGGCCTCTTCCAAGGAGTTTTTATTCTCCATTAATGATTTCCTTTATAACATTTTAGGTGTGAGGTATTGTTTACTTTTGTGAGGTGTTTTAAGTTGTTATTGTATTGGTGTTGGTTCGGAGTTGGACTCTCTCTAACTCATTTTGGGGGCTTGGGGATGCATATGATTAGTCTTCCTTTGGGTGCCAATCTTGTTGGGATGCTTAGCTAAGACAATGATGCTCCTTCTTTCCAAGCTTTGTATCTTTTTATCTTTATTAATATATTTTCACTTGCTTGCCGCTCAAAAAAAAAAAATGAATATAATAACTAGTAATTCATATATGTACATGTGCTTGCATTTTTCATTCCAATAGGTACATTTTTTATTGTATAATAACAAACAAATAACAATTTGATCCAAATACTAGTAAAGTCTAATGACACTAACGATTGATGTAAGATTTTATCGCAATTATCACTAATGATTTGTTGCTAATGATTTGATTTCTCAATCAAGGCAATGTGTCAATGCCGCCTATCACTGGAGTGCGTCCCTCTTATACTGTAGAAGGATTTGTCAACCCAATATGGAATTATGATACCCAACAAGTAAGAATCTTTCCTATTTAATTATTTTGAGAGATAAATTTAATTTGGTTAACATATTAGAGTTACTAAAATTATACTCTTATAGCCTAGCTAACCAATGAAAACTACAACTTATAGTTTCATCATATCAGGCTAAATCACTCCCACAAAATATACTTGATCAACAAACTCATCCAGGCTATGGAGGCAATCTGACAAACCAACATCAACATGATGGCCGTACTGGAAATTTCTCTCAAGCAAGGTTCTTCCTACCATATGTGCATGCTAATATTATATCACCATTATGTAAAATTTTTGTTACGTTTCAGTAACTGTTCATATTATTTTCTTGTGATTTTATTAGAGGAAATCAGTTAAGATGAACAATTACTTAATGGTCATTACAATAATAACACAAACACATGATGATGCTTATTAAATTTTATAATATTTGACATTTCGAACATCAAAATGCTTGTAACCAAATAACAATTTAAACTAGCAGATCAGATTCATTATGGAAGAGGGTCATTTGCAGCAAATACAATTTTCAAGGTGGGGTAAGGTTACCTAATCTCAGCTTAAGTACCAACTTCTCTAAAATCTGGGGTGGCATTGTTGTTGCAGTTGAGCAGCAAGAGTCTCTTTTGTTGTACTATGTTAGTAACTTACAATTAAAAGTGGGTAATGGTTGTAGAATCAGGTTTTGGCATGATCAATAGTGTGGAGCTCTATACCTTAAAGTAGAGTTTCCAAGGCTATTTCAATTGTCTAATGATAAGGAGAGATCACTTAAGGACTTTGTGGATATCTCAGGCTTCTCTAACAACTAGTTGCTCACCTTTAGGAGGTCTCTTTTTGAATGGGAAAAGGAGGAGCTACTCAGACTCTTTGGCATCTTAGCATCAGCACCATTGAATCTGGAGGTCCAAGACAGTGTAGTATGGTTAGCAACAAAACCTGGGCAGTCCCTTGTATCTGTTCTATACAACCATACTAATCTTGTTTTTGGAGGCACCGTTAGCTCCAATAGTTTGGTTTGGCTCAAATATCTCCCACCCAAAGTGCAATTCTTTGGTTGGCTTGCATGGAAACACAGGGTTAAAACATCTGTGTTTTTGCTACAGATTGGTGTGCTGGATAGGTTTGTATCTACCTTATGTATTTTCTGCAAAGCACAACATGAAACAATTGAATTGTTATTCAAAAATTTTTGCCAAAAAGTGGGCAATTTTTTTAGAAACATCATAATAAAGTTCAATAGTCTTTAGTCTTTAGTTTCTTGTCAAATATACTGCAATAATTAAAGGAATGGTTAATTATACCAACACCCCTCAGCTTTTACTGAATATTATTTTACCTCTTTAAGTTCGAATCTAACATTTAGAACACAACTATAAAAATACGTACAAATATTCTTTTTTTAAGAGGGCAAAGCAATATTCAATAATAGTTGAAAGAGTTGTTCGTATTATCAACCCTTGAAAAATTAATATGTTGACAACACCCATACTGTTATAGAGCTTCCTCATTGACATTGTGATATGTAAGTGATTATTTTTTGTCCTAATTGTGATTAAATACAGAGTAAGAGTGATAATGATCTGTCAAAATGTCATCCATTTGCATCAAGCACACAAGTACCTATGGATTCTTTTCTGAAAAATGATAATCTACTGAAATCAAATGCATTTGAATCAACAACACAAAGAGTACCTGTGAATCCTTTTCTAGAAACTGATGATCTACTAGAATGGGATCCATCAGAATCAGGCCCAAGACAAGTAACTAGGAATCCTTCTCTGGACACTAATAATCTCCGTGAATGGAATCCATCAGAATCAGGCTGAAGACAAGTAACTAGGAATCCTTCTCTAGACATTGATAGTCTACCTGAATGGAACCCATCGGAATCGTCTCTAGACACGCTTGATCTTCTAGAATGGAATCCAACTGATTATCTTCTAATGACTCCTTCTCTCGATGATCTACCAGAAAGGAATTCATGTGAATTAGACCCACAACAATTATCTATGAACGCTTCTTCATCTCAAGGAAATCAAAACCAGAACTTGAATGCTTTTGGTCAGCAAAACCTTACGAGAGGGTATTATTGTGGAATTGTTTATTTATTTTTTATTTTCACGGTATCAACTCTCTAAGCATGTTTTTGCAAGTGATGGTTGATGAAATAAAAATCTCTATTTTGTTTCAGGCCAATTGTAAATACTCTTTATAATCCTGAATATGCATTGCATGGCAAATTTGTGGATCCTCATCTTCAGCTATTCTTGGAGCTACGCGACAAAGGTAAAATTCTTCCCAATACAAATATCCTTTTAACCTTTTCAATGACCTCAAAATAACATATTTTTTTTTTTGTTGATAAATTACATTGTTGGTCCCCTAATTTGAGCAAAGTTTCACTTTAATTTTCATTGTTTCAATTTAAATAATTTAAATCTATACTTTCAATTTTCTTGCAATGTGATCCTTTGTCACTTACCGTTACTCTAATGGTCTAGCTTCTTTTGACTTCAACTTTAATCCCTCTAGTCTCATGACGAAGGAACAACATTGAAGAAAACTGAAAGTATGAGATTCAAGTTCAAAACTTAAACTACATATACTTTTTATTTTTACACACACGATTATGTTATTGGTTGTTTGCAATTTTATTATTTATTAAGGTCTTATGAGGTTCTAAACTTCATGATCGCAGGTAGAAATGGTGGTAACCTTTGAACTTCTTGAGAATGACTGGATCGATACTGTACGTACAACGTATAACTTTTCTATAGTATCATCCTTCAATGAATTTCTTTTATTTGGTTGCAAAATGAAGACTGTTTGTTATGAGAATTCCTCACCAACTGCATTATGGGAATCTCCTTTGGTTTGCTTGTTTTCCTTTCTAGCAATTTTCAATCATACATTTCAAATATTGGGTTTAACTATGGATTTCAAAAACTTATCAGTTTATTTATTTGTGGTTAGAACAAACTATGAAGACTTCGAATTCTATGAATGGTAATTATTAGACCATGAAACTCATGACCTATATAACTGCTTTGCATTGTGATTTTTAGACAACTCTGAAATTTATTATTCTTTGTGATGTTAACTTCTGAAATTATTGTCTGTCTTGATAATATAAGTACTACAGTTATATCTCTATAATAGTATTATTTTTTAGATGAACTAACAGACAGTTATTCAATAAAGTATTAGAGAATACGAAAAATTATGTGTTTATACCTCACCAATACATGATAATTAAAATATTTATACGAGTTTAGCCCACATATAAAAAAGAGTTTGGTCTCAAGTGATTGTGAATCTAGAGAACAAGAACCAATATCATTAAAGACAAAAAAATAAAAAATAAAAATAAAAAATAAAAATAAGTGAGCAAGACAATCACAAACAAAGACCTTTTTTTTTTTTTTTAAAAAGGAAAGCAAAAAGCACTGCCACAACAACGGACAGAGAAAAAGAGAACAAAAAAAGAAGAAGATAGGAGCAGCTGAGTCAACTCCAACAACAAACAGCACACTGACATTCATCCTTTACAACCATCTAACACATTGACATTCATCCCAATCAGCCATCAAACAAGCATAACAGCACACAACCTATTCAAGCATCCAGCATGAACTCCTAACACGGCAGCAACCAATCCAAACACAGCAGCACAGCAGACCAAATCAGTTGTAGACTAGTAGAAGAGCTACCTAGCAGCAGACTACCAAAAACTAGTTACAGTCCTCACTAAAGCAGTTGCATTCCACTAAAAAACACCCATCAGTTGCATCCCACCAAAAAACACCCCACAGAAACCATAATCTCCCTTCAAATGCATATGAATATCTGCAATTCTAATCAGAATATCAACTGATTTCCATTCACTTCACAGCAAACAATCAGCAAACAAAGCTCTGAAGCAGAGGACCACTGATGATGAATACACCCAGACAGATCAGCAGACAGATCAGCTTCAACCAAAATCACCCAGACAGATCAGTAGAGCAGACTAGCAGATCAGAACAGAATCAAAAAGGCTAACAGATCAGCAGAGAAGAGTAGGAGGATCAAAAGGCAAAGACCAACTGTGGAATCAGGAACAAAGCCTGATTTGATTCCATTTGAAAGCTAAATCATCAATTGAGAATGGGAAGTTCTTAATAGATGCTTTCAACCAAAAAGCTGCTTCGATTTTGATAGGCTGCCACGGAGAATTTAGAAAGACCACCCAACACGAAACAAGAATCTCAACCAAAATCACTAAGCAAGGATCCATCAAAGAGGATTATCAAGTGATCTTTGTTTTAGGAAAAAAAAAGTGACCCTTTCATCCCAACACAAAACAAGGATCTTGACCAAAATCACCTATTTCTCCTTTTTCCTGGATTGAAAGCGTCATGAAAAAAGACCTCCATCAAGATCACCAACCAAGCTCCAACTAAAAAAATAAGAGAGCCAAAGCTAAACAAAAGGGCCATACAAATAACCGAAGAACTGAGCAAACTCCGAAAGAACCGAACGAGCTCTCAACCAAACAAAACAAAACAAATTGTTGATAAAACGAATTCTAATCAAATTTTGGTATCAAGCACACTTTAGAACTAGAGCAAATTTCAAAACTTTCACAAAGTAAAAAATTTTATTTACTAGTTATAATAGCAAAGGTACTATCAGAATCCAAGGCAAACGGCATACTGAAAATGCCACACTAACCAAACAGTCTTCAAAGCCTACCATAACTTAACCCAGTCTCTAACATAGTTCTAAATCGCGGTATCGGGTAACGTAACGGTATCGATCGCAAAGCATCGGTATCGGTAGTGTACGGGGAGGAAATAATTCTCCTCGTATAATCCTGTTGACCAAGTCCACGCTCCTCCGTACGACGACGCTTTATCACCTGAAAACACAAACATGAGCTAGCCGGCGGGTGTGTGCCGGAAACCTCTCCGATGCCTAAGTCAGTAAGCTTGACAAATAGACAAAGTTTTATGCTCTCAGAAAGAATTATGTTCAATTACCTCCCCCAAGGTGATGTTTGTGGGCTTTTATAAGTTTCCCGTGGCACAATCCTAGTAGGACTTGTATTTCTCCATGCAGAGTCCTCCTGGGATTCATACTCCTAAGGATAATGCTTATCCTTTTACACCCTCCCCCACTGCTTAAACCAAGTGGGATGGTTTTCTCCATGGCCGAATCACCATTTGACCGAAGTAACACTGGCTATGCTGAGCCACAGAGAAGACCGAACTATCCTTAGCTCGGTTTTGTCCTCCAACTCCTTATCTCGGCTTTCCCCCGTTCAACCATGATGCGTTTAGACCAAGCTTCTGAGTAGCAAGCTCTGGCCAATCTAACCACCATACACCGCGACCGGATTAACTCTAGTTATGAACTAACCGTGAGGCCGGACTAACATCAAGTTACCTCCAGACCGGAGTATCTTTATACCATCTAGGGCCGAAGCAATTACACCTCTCCTAAACCGGAGTAACCATACCTCTCCTAGCCACAGAGAAGACCGAACTATCCTTAGCTCGGTTTTCTCCTCCAACTCCTTATCTCGGCTTTCCCCCGTTCAACCATGATGCGTTTAGACCAAGCTTCTGAGTAGCAAGCTCTGGCCGATCTAACCACCATACACCGCGACCGGATTAACTCTAGTTATGAACTAACCGTGAGGCCAGACTAACATCAAGTTACCTCCAGATCGGAGTAGCTTTATACCATCTAGGGCCGAAGCAATTACACCTCTCCTAAACCGGAGTAACCATACCTCTCCTGGGCCAGAGTAACTATGCTTCTTCTGGGCCGGAATATCATTACGGCCTTTTATTGAGTCCTTCACACTTTGGGCCATAAAGTCTATCTTACAGCTCGGTCCAATTCTCTCCAAAAATTACCCTCTCAGGTAGTATCGGCCGGTACGAATCGGGAATCAATTGCCCCTTAATTCCATCTGCACAGCGTGATTGGGATTACCAGTCTACCAACCGAGATGAAGTTTATTAAGCCTTTCCAGCCGAGCAAAAAACCCTTTAGCTTCTCCAGCCGAGCTAATTTTACGTCGGGCTTCACTCTGTTCGGTTAAAACGTCTCTTCAATCACAGCGACTGTAACGCTTCCCCTTCCAATGACACGTGGCAGATTCTGATAGGCTGAGGACGGCTGTCACGCCGTCTTTCGTACTTCGTGAATTTTGAACAGTCCCGCCCAAATTTTGGGCTTTCTAACAAAAACACTCCCTGAGGCTAGGTCCCTTTTTTTTTTTTTGACATATGTTAAACTTTTAATAAAAAAATTGATTTGATTATTTATTTTTCTTGTACTGAGAAAAAAATAAATATATATATTAATATAAATAGAGGTGTAAGTGTATAAACAAATAAATAGAAAAAAAAAATCTAAACATTTTGCAATCTAGAAATCCACCATAAACACACGCACCTCCATGTACCTAAGTACCTCTCCTTTCCTATCCATTTCAACCTCAGACTCCCAACACAATGAACCTCCATGTACCTAATTACCTCTCTCTTCTTATCCATTCCAACCTCAGACACCTATACCATAATACAAGACTGCAAGACGCTAACCGGAAGCAAGACGCCCATACCACCTATCCCCTCTCTCTCTCTCTTTCTCTGTAAAAACGCTGATCGGAAGCTGCAAAATCCAGCCAACCCAGACAAACATTTCAGCTTTAGATCGATAAAAAAAGAAAAAGAAAAATAAAAAGAAAAAGACCAGAAACAGAGCACAACAACAGCACAAATCACAACTTGCAAATTGTAACAACTCAGGGAGAAGCCTTCTTTGAAGAAGCTTGAAGGTTGTTGAAGTGAACTCCATAGCCCAAAGAGACTTACATCTATGCAGCCATGCCACAAAAAAGTTTGATTGTGAAATGTGAACTGCAAATCTGTAACAAAAACAAATCTGTATCGGACTGTATCGTCCCATGTATCAGATTCGGGCCGTTGCGTACCAGGACTCGGACGGTACGGCTATGAATTTCATTCTCATTGGTATATCGATCCATATCCGAATTGGTGCTATGATTTTTCGGTACGAATCGGCCGGTACGTACCGGCCGATATTTAGAACTATGGTCTCTAAACAATCTATCTTCACCAAGGAAAATTATTAGGCACTCTCTAAGTACTACGTGACCATATTTCTTCATTAATTATCATTTATTATGTTCTTTTATATTTCTTAATCGCCCAACATAAATAATTAATGGTCTATCTTTTCCACCAATCATACTACCACGGAACACCATATGACCATATCCTAGACTACCAAATAATCACTCTTCTATCAATTTCGAAACATGTGCAACTTCTCAAATCTAATTTTCCAAAGGAAAAATACTTGGATGATAGCTAGAAACAAAATATTGAAAATCAAAACTTACCTTCCAAATAGACAAAACTTGGAATCAACAATGTTCAAGTTTCTCACCCACCAACGTTAATTTTTTTTTTTTTTTTTAATTTCATGCTTCTTCTTTTTTTACTTGTCTATTTTTTTTCAAATATTTAGACAAAATCCACTTAATTTAAATCACAGAAGCCTCATTCGCCCATAATATCTAATAGCCTCATCATGGGAGCTTGTACTAAAATTTGTTATAATTCACTCTTGTACAGATTAAACAAATCAGGCACATGTTTGTTTTGTAACTGCTCAACATATAATTGAAATTCATCTCTAAATTGTAAATTCTCACGATTTTCACAATTGATGTTGTCTCAACCCAATTTTGACTTCGCCTACTTACAATTAAAAAAATATACAAAAAATAAATTCTTTTCAAATCAAGATTTTTAAAGGGTGAAAAGTTGTCACTAAGATAACATTTTTCTGAAATTTCCAAAATAATAGGATTTATTAAAATATAAGAATATCTTAATAGATTCCCCATAATAAAAATAAGGCAAAATTTTTTAAAAAAACAATCTACAGTAATTCATGTAACAAAATAAATCCCTACAGTTTAATTCATGTAATAAAATAAATCCTAAACTTTTAATTTCTTCAAATAAAATCTTAATATTTTAATTAAATATCTATTAAGTCCTCCTCTATTGCCGGCTATGGAATTAATGGGAAACAATTAGGTTGCGTTTGGTTCTCTTTTGGAGTTAGGATTCCAATCAAAAAAATTTAAAACTCTTTTTAATACTCACAACCAAACCCACAACTCAAAACTATTCAAAACTAAATTAAAAAATTATTTTCAAAATTTATATCCAAACAAATAATTTAAAACTCTTTTTTAAACTTAAAACCAAACTCTTTTCAAAACTTCTATTTAAAAAAGATAGACTTGAGATCGGGTTGAAGGGTTCCCGTTGTTTCTCTAAGATAGACTTGAGATCGGGTTACCACCAGTTGAGGGTCAGAGAGGAGGATGTTCCTAAGACGGCATTCCATACGCGGTATGGCCATTATGAGTTTCCAGTAATGCCATTTGCGCTTACCAATGCACCGGCAGTCTTTATGGACTTGATGAACCGGATCTTTCGGGAATTCTTGGACCGATTTGTAGTCGTTTTTGTGGACGACATTCTTATCTATTCGCCTTCTGAGGAAGAGCACGAGGAACACTTGAGAGTGGTGCTCGAGTTGCTTAGAGCCCATAGCCTGTATGCCAAGTTTGGGAAGTGTGAGTCTGACTGAGCTGGCTGCTGACCCTGAATCTGCCTCAAACCAGATGCACCAGGTG